AAAAAAAATATGTGACAGGAGCTTCCGCTCCAAATATATTATACATTTCATGAGCGTAGGAAAAGCCTGGCCAGGTACTAAGCGTCACCCTTGCGTATAAAGTAACTAACAAAATAAGTGAACGCATTCTTAGCGCGAAGATACTGTACTATAAAGTGCAATATGAAATAATAATTACACAATAATTTGAAACAAATTAAAATAAATTTAATTAAAAAATATCCACCAATTTCATTAAAAAATTCTATTAATCTCCAAAACTCTCTAGCGCCTCTGCTCTCCCTCTCCAAACATTCTTGCGCTACACAAACTCTCACTTCGCGTCGGATCTAATCGAATATTGCAGATTCAAGCAAAATGGAACGTACTGTTATGGTTGAAAAAATTCACCGCCATCTTAGGACTCGCCCAAATCTCCAAGACCGCCACGCATATTGGTCGGATAGAGTAATTCTAACCAAATTCGGTAGAACACCTGTGAACTTCCGCCAAATTCTCAATGCATCGAACGTCATCCGCCTCAACATCCTTTTGGAGATATTGTTAGGGAAAAGGCCGAATTATCGTTCACAATCAACGAATTCGTGCCTATCCGATGTACTAGGCATAGCCGAGTCGGCTTTCGACGGTGCAAATGGACGTCTTCTGGAGGAATTCGGAACAATGATGATATTACCCAGAACGAATGCAAATAGATGGTTTTGTTATTGTCGTCTTTGCCCAGTGGGTACGACTCTCCTAAACCACGTCTATAATCGCACCAATCAGTTGCCTGAGGATATGACCCTCCCGGTCATCCGTATTGGAATGGGAAATGAAGTGCGCTATCTGATGATAGAGCAAATTTGGGTTCAAGTTCCTCTCCACCTTTTCTATGAAAAGGAGGAAGACTACCCGGCTCCTCGCCAGCCACGCTTCCACCCCCGAAGTTTATGGTCGTGTTCAAGTTCGGACGAAACGGACGACGATTACAGTGAAGGAACCGAATCAAGTAATTAAGGTAATTTTAATAACAATTCGAATGCGAGTAACAATTTTAAAACTCACACGCTGTCAGTTATAGTAAAGAAAAAAAAA